AGAGAGAGAGAGAGAGAGAGAGAGAGAGAGATGGAGACAGAATCCGAAGCAGGCTTAGCGCTGTCAGTGAAAGCCCCACATGGGGGTCCAACCCATGAACCTTGAGATCATGACCTGAGCCAAAGTCAGCCGCTCAACCACTGAGCCACCTAGGCACCCCCTCTGCTCCAGAGAAAAGTTCGCAAGGCGAGGGCGTAGGTTGGGTGGGTCCCTGATTCAATATAACACACAGTTTAGCAAAGGCTCATTAATTTACACACACTATGATGGGTAATCATGTGAGCAGTGGAGCTTACTTGGGAAATCAATTCCTTTCTTCTTCAGACCTGCTGGAGGTCTCTGCTTCCTTCAGCTATTTGCCCACTAGTGTCTTTTTTTAAAAAAATTAATGTACCAAAAAATATCACTTCATTGGCTTGGGATACAGTGTGAAGTTACTTCTCTTTTTTTAAATTCAAAGTGGCATCACTTCAGTCACTCTCTTCATTTCTAAAAACTGTTTTTCTTCCTTTCCTCACCCCTTTACCCCATGATCATTCATTTAACACCACTTATTAAGCCTATACTATACACCAGGCACAGTATCAACGACTAGGGACATAGGACAAGACAGGCATGGTCTCTGCTCTTACAGAGTTTCATACCAAGGGTGGTAGAGAGAATTTCAAAGTTAGATGAAGTAAATACTATCAGCTGGTGCTTATCGAATGCCTTCTCTGGGTCATAGATGCGATGGTGAACAAGATAAAGCAGGTCCTCCTTCTCATGGGACTTACCTCTTAGCCGTGGGGAGACAAAAGAAAGCAATAAGCAAGTAAATGCACAATGTGAAAGGTGGTTGCAGTGGTTGCTGGGGGCGTACAGAACAGGCATGTGGGGGAAGCAGAATGCTGTTGGGATGCAGTAGGGCAGATTGCTGTTAAATGTAGGATGACTGAAGAAGGCCATCTGTCCCACAGGGCCAATGCGGTAAAGATCTAAAGGAGGTGAATGCGCCTTGCACGAGTCCGGGGGGAAGAGTGTTCTAGCTCAGGTGAACGACCAGCACCAAGGCCCAAGGTTGCACATTTGGGGAACAGCAGGGAGGTCCATGTGACTACAGGAGACAAAACAAGGTGGAGAGGGGTGGGAGATGAGATCAGAGAGACAGCTAAAGTCCAGATGGGTAGGGTCTTGTTGACCATTGTAAAGGCTTTGCTTGTTATTTCGAGTCGGGGGGAAGCCACGGGGGGACTTTGGACTGATGAATGACATTATCTGTCTCCTGTTTGTGCAGGAGCACACTGACTGTCTACAGACCATAGCCTCTAGAAGGGTAGAAGCAGGGGGAATCAGTGATTCTGTTATTGCAGAAGTCCAGAGAAGAGTTGATGATCAGTTCAGTCTGGAAAAACCATGAAAGGCTTGACCCCAGCTGACACTTCAACTAAGTGGGGCTCGAACTGTGAGATCATGACCTGAGCCAAAGTCGGACACTCAACCAAATGAGCCATCAAGGTGCCGCTCATTTTTAAATTTTGTAATTACTTCTCTTAATTTATGGATCAAAAAGAAATGATTGAAATTAGAACATATTTAAAACTGACTAAAAAAAGGAGTGGGGAGAACAGCTCTATGCAGATGTCCATTCTTCTAAAACTAAGCTGCAGGGATGCCTGGGTAGCTCCATCGGTTGGGCCTCCGACTCTTGACCTCAGCTCAGGTCATGATCTCGCAGTCTGTGAGATCGAGTCCCATGTTGGGATTCTCTCTCTCCTCTGTCTCTGCCCTCTTGTGATTTGTGCATGTGCTCTCTGTCTCTCTCTCAAAATAAATAAATACTTAATAAAAAAATAAAAGTAAGCTACAAATTCAATGCAACGACACTCTAGATTTCAACAGGGTTTCCTGAAGACAATGACAACTGATTTTCAAAGTTCTACAGGGGATTAAAAAGCCAAGAATACCGTGACAGTTTTGCACAATAGCAAGGTGGTGGAACCTGCTCCATTACATAATGAAGCCTCATTTTAGAGTTATATTTTTAGTAGAATAACATTAAGTCATCTTGGTTTTAGTAATTAAGGCTTTCTGGTTCAAGAATAGATTGAGTGTCCAGTGGACAAAACAGACAACCTAGGCAAAGACTCATGGAAACATGGGCCCCTGGTATCTGACAGAATCATTTGGAAAAGGATAGACTGTTCAAGAAATAGTTCTGGGAGGGGCACCTGGGTGACTCAGTCGGCTGAGCGTCCGACTTCGGTTCAGGGCATGGTCTCGCAGTTTGTGGGTTTGAGCCCTGCATCGGGCTCTGTGCTGACAGCTCAGAGCCTGGAGCCTGCTTCAAGTTCTGTGTCTCCCTCTCTCTCTCTCTCTGCCCCTCACCCAGTTATGTTCTCTGTCTCTCTAGCTCAAAAATGAATAAACATGAAAAAAAAAAAAGGAAATAGTGCTGGGAAACTTGGCTCTTCCAGTGGTTTCTGATTCAGTTAGGAATGCTAATCTTTAACCAATGGTGGCTTAACACCAGTGCTTCTCAAACTTGAATGCTCATGAGAATCACCTGGAACTTGTCAAATGAAGAATTCTCATTCAGCAAGTCTGGCGTGGGGCTGAGATGTTGTATTTCTAACATGATCTCAGTTATTGGCAATATCGCTTGTTCGTGAACCACACTCTGAGTAGCAGCAGCTTAAATCATTAGAATATGAGCTGTTTACTTAGCAAAAGGGCAGTCTCAAGGATGTTTTGGTAGCCCAGTGATGTCATCGGGGATCCTTTTATCTTTCTGCTCTGGGGTCCTTCAGCAACATTTGTTCTCTTATTTGTTACCTCATTGCCTCATGATATCTGCTGCCATTCCAGATGTCACATTTAAATGTCAAATAAGAAGAAGGGGGAGGAGGGGCGCCTGGGTGGCTCAGTTGGTTAAGCATCAGTCCGACTTCAGCTCAGGTCATGATCTCACTGTTCCCGAGTTCAAGCTCTGCTGACAGCTCAGAGCCTGGACCCTATTTGAGATTCAGTGTCTCTCTCTGTCTCTGCCCCTCCCCCATTCATGCTCTGTCTTTCTCACAAATAAATAAGCTTTAAAAAACTTAAAATAAAATAAAAAGAAAAAATAAAAAGAAGAAGGGGGAAGAGGTGAGAACAGGAGCTCTCTACTTGAGTCTGCCTCTATCATCAAGAAAACAATAACATTCCTAAAAGGCCCAGGCAAATATTCCCTCAATTGTCATCAGGTTGAACTGGGTCACATGGCCACCCCTGGTCGAAAGGAAGCTGGGAGAGAGAACGTATTAATTTCCTGTTGCTGCTGTAACAAATTGCCACAAAGTTAGTTGCTAAAAACCCACCAAGCTATTATTTTACAGTCTGGAGGTCAGAAGTCCTAAAATTAGTGTTGGGCAGGATTCTTCTGGAGGAGGCTGTGTGGCAGAAGCCATTTCCTTGCCTTTCCCAGCTTCTAGAAGCTGCCTGCATTGCCTTTGGCTGGTGGCTCCTTATTTCATTTTTAAAACCAATCGTGTAGCATTTTCAAATCTTTCTCACTCTCTGACCTCTGCTTTTGTCCTCACATCTCCTTTTTCTTATTCTGACTTTCCTATCTTCCTCTTGGAAGGACCTCTTTTAGTGTGATTATATTGGAGCCACCTGGATGATCCTCTAGGATCCTCTTATCTCTCTGTCTCAAGAGCCTTAATCACATTGGCAACGTCCCTTTTGCCATGTAAAATAACACAATCACAGATTCCAGGGATTAGCACATGGACATCTGGTGGGGGGGGCATTATTCTGTCTATCACAATTTCCCCCAGCATGTATAATGGGTGATGAATACAGAGAAAGGGGTTGTTGGTTTAGTCAGTCAACAGTGTTGAATGTCTTTTTTTTAAGTGTTTATTTATTTTGAGAGAGAGAGAGAGAACAAGAGCAAGCGAGCAAGGGAGGGGCAGAGAGACAGAGAGAGAGAGAGAGAGAGAGGAGAATCCCAAGCAGGCTCTGTGCTGTCCTCGCAGAACCCCATGTGGGGCTCGATCCCACACACCGTGAGATCATGACCTGAGCTGAGATCAAGCATTGGACACAACCGATCGAGCTACTCAGGTGCCCCTACAGTGCTGGGCATCTTACCAGTGTGGATTTATTTCAGAGACAAGAGCACAGAGAAGATTGTGGGAAACAGGATTTCTTATCCCAATCTAGTCTGAGTTGACTTCAGTAGGCCACATCCTTTGGGAAAAACCAAAAAGAAGGCGTTTTTTTCTTGCTGCTCCTCTATCCACTCTTGCATGGGTTGAACACTGATGTGTTGCTTTTTGTCCCAGCAGAACCAACCAGAGCCTGTGTCAGGAGAGGAAACTGGAGCCAGAGTGCTCCATGCCGGAACTGAGGCTTCTCCTCTTAGGCAAAAGTGGTGCAGGAAAAAGTGCCACAGGAAACACTATTCTGGGCAAAGCTGCATTCGTGTCCAAATTCAGTGACCAGATGGTGACTAAAACATGCCAGAGAGAGAGTGGGTTCACAAAAGAGAGAAGGGTTGTGGTCATTGACACCCCTGACCTTTTCTCCTCAAAGTCTTGTGCCAAAGACAAGCAACGTAACATTGAACACTGCTTCGAGCTCTCTGCTCCCAGCCTCCACGTCCTGCTTCTGGTAATCCCCATCAGCTTTTATAAGGTCGAGGACATAGAGACAGTCAAGGGGATCCAGGAGGTGTTTGGAGCTAACTCCAGGAGGCACATCATTATTGTCTTCACTCGGAAGGATGATTTGGAGAATGACTCACTGAAAGATTGCATTGAAGATGAGAACTCCCTTAGGGAGTTGGTTGAAAACTGTGGAGGCCGATACTGCGCTTTTAACAACAAGGCAAGTGAAGATGAGCGGGATGTCCAGGTGAGAGAGCTCCTCTGCATGGTCCAGCGTTTGGTGGATGAAAACGGAAGACCATATATCGTGAATCTCAGAAATGAAGGCAGTGGATTCCTGGTAAGAAATGCTGAAGGTCCTCAAGGATCTTTGTGGTGAGAGCTAGTGGGTTGAAGACAAGCATGGATAAGTGACCTGTCACATTGTGTGGTGGAGCCTAGGCTTTGTTTAGGAGGTGTTTATCTATGATCTGGAAAGATGAGGCACCAGATGGTAGGTTGCTTTGAGGATTACCCTTTGGACTTTGAAATTTATTGGCAAATTAATGGATACAGTTAAGTCCTTACTTAAGTTTTTCCCTCACAGTATTAGACACACAAATAGACCCTTTCTTCCCTTGGCTTCAATACAGCTATACTCGTTTTGGTTTTTTTCCTCCTACTCTTTCTGGCTCCTCTGGAGATTGTTGAGTTCTCTTCACATGGCCTCTAAAAGTTGAGATCTTCAGGGTGTGGTTCTAGGCTTTCCTCAATTCTCTGCCCTTCAGCTTTGAGCTCCGTTGATCGCTAATGGTTTCCAGATTTGTCACTCCTGTCCAGGCCTCTCCTCTGAATCCTGCTCCCTTATCCAGTTGCCGTCTGATGTCTCCACTTGGCTCTCCTATGGGATCTCAGGCTTCACAAGGTTACACTTTTGGTTTTCCCTCTGAGATGTATGAGACTTCAGTTTTCTCTCAACTGGGTAAATGGTGGTGATGCTCCTGATGCTCCTTGAACCTAAACCCAGAGGTCGGCTTTGCTACTACTAGCTGGCAGCTGATATTTGAGAAGTCCTTAGGTCTTGTGTGATCGGTGTGCCTGGAATCCATGCATTTCTGTCCATCTCCACTGCCCCCCTCTGCTCCAAGCCAGCCTCCGTTCTTGCCTGTACTGTTTTACAAACAACCTTCCCCTCATTCGTTCTTGTGCCTTACCCCTCAATCTATTTTCTACACGACAGCCAGAGTGGTATTTTATTTAATTTCTAGACTTGAGTGGAAAATATATTTGTAATGAAGGAAGATACAAAAATCCAGGGTTTTGTTTTCGAAGACCTCACGCTTCTGTTTGAGTGACTCATGCATAAGACACGAAGCAGTTCCTGATTCAGTGTAAGTAAGTGAATGTTGGTACAGAGGAGTCTTTAAATGCAAGTGTCCATGGATGTAAAGCAAAGCAAAAATCCAACGTGGGGGCAGTTTTGGTCAGAGTGAATCTTCTGAGAACTGGTGAGTGTTAAACCCAAACAGGATGGAAATGAGAAGGAAGGCAATATTTACTGAGCACCTGCTAAGTCCCAGACCCCCAGACTGATCAAATCTTCACACCTACTCAATGTACGACGAGGACCCTGAGGCTCAGGAGAACTTGTCACTCTCTTATCTCCTAGCCCTGACCTCCCTCTCTCTCTCCTTTATAGCCTCTGTCTCTCCCCTGAAGGCTGTATGGAACAGGGATGCCAGCAGAGAGGATAAGGGACACAGAATGAACTGTCCACAGTGTACCCAGAACACAACCCCCTGTTGTGTAAAATTCTGCAGTGACTGTACGTTGATCTTCAGATCAAGTTTGGAATCCCTGACCTGAGCTGGCCCCCCACCCTCTAACTTGCTCTTTATGTGTTGGTCCCACCGGCCTTCCCTGTGGGGTCCTTGACTTATACTCATGTGTGCTCTAGAGCTTTGAACTTGGAATTTTCTCCACCTGGACACTTCCCCTCTCCCATCCCACCCCGTTCCAGGTCTGCCTCTGCTAGAGCTCCTTTGCTCAGAGAGTCTTCCCTGTGGGCCCCTGGGATGAGCTCCTACAGCCCCCCTTCCCTCAGGGCGCTTCTCCTCCTCATGGCCATCAGCCAGTCAAGTGGTTGCTGTGTATGTGCTTTCAATGGCTGCCTCCCCACAGACTCCCTGAGGGACGGAACTCCTATCCTTTTTGTTGACCACAGTATCTTATTTTTCTGTCTTGTGTAAAAAGGGATAATACTATGTATCTCAGGGTTTAATGAAATGCTGACAAAGTTATTTGCAAATACTTGAAATGCAAGCATTCAGTAATTATTAGCTGCCATTATTATTACTATTATTTAATTTTTTAATGTTTATTCTTGAGAGAGAGAGAGAGCACAAACAGGGAAGGGGCAGAGAGAGATGGAGACAGAATCTGAAGCTGTCAGCACAGAGCCTGACATGGGCCTCAAACCCATGAACCATGAGATTATGACCTGAGCCTAAGTCAGACGCCCAACTGACTGAGTCACCCAGGCGCTCCATAGTTGCCATTATTATTACTGTTATTATCATGGACGTGTATAAATTTCACGTAAGTTATGGAGACATTAAGGACTTTAACAACCCAGAGACTGAGCAAGATTCCCACTTTTAGGACCCTGTTACCAAGAAAGGAAAACATTTGCACATATAAAGATGTATATATAAGGATATTTATCATTGTATCTTTTCAAATAGTAAATCCAGAAATAAGCTTATGATCTATCAATAAAGGAATCATTTGGCTCGGTCAGTAGAGCATATGACTCCTCATCTCGAGATTGTTAAGTTCAAGCCCCATGTTGGGTGTAGAGATTACTTAAAATAAAATCTTTAAAAAAATACAGGAATCGTTACATTAGTATGGAATTTTCCATATCCATGCTGTGGAGTAAATAGCATCTTCTAGAAAAATTGGGTTGATCGATATGTACTGATTTGTACAGATGTACAGGACATAGTATTAAGCAGATTGAAACCTAGCCAAGTTCTCCCAATGTGTTCATATATGCTTGTGTGTGTTTGTATAAACTTAGAAAAACATAGAAGGATGTATGTGAATTAGCTATTGTTCCTTTGGTAGTGGATTGGGAATTTAAAAATTAGTAATTTTTAGGGGCATCTGGGTGGGTTAGTTGGCTCACGTCGTGATCTCATGGATTGTGGGTCCGAGCCCCGCGTCATGCTCTGTGCTCACAGCTCGGAGCCTGGAGCCTGCATAGGATTCTGTGTCTCCCTCTCTCTCTGCCCCTCCCCTGCTTGTGCTCTGTCTCTCTCAAGAATAAATAAACATTAAAAACATTACTAATTTTTAGATCATACACATTTGCATTGTAAAAATGTTTTCCATTTAAAGAACATGAAAGACCTTGAGTTGTGCCAGGTAAGAAGAAAGAAGTGTGATAATCAGAGCTGAATGGAGAAGACCCAGGGAGGGAGATGGTGGAAGGTATCAATGGTTTGGGGTAAGGCCAAGTAAGAAAGCAGAGGGAAAATTTCCTTGGCTAGCATGGAAATTTAACAAAGATAAGGTTAAAATAAAGTATTGGGAGTTTCTAAGAATAGCAGATTCATCCACATTGTGTATCGTTGTTTTCACCTTCTCTTTTGATTTCATGACAATTTAAGTTTGGGGTGTGACTGTATGGCTTGGCCAGGCAGGGGAAGGGAATACCAACTGTGTGTTTGGCCTTCCATCCTCTGTTGTCTCCATTTGCCCACCTGGATGGAGAAGGTTCCAAATTTTCCTGGCTCTCACGTCAGAAGAAGGATCATCTCTGTACCGGGGGTGTGGTGCAGGGAGAAGGCACCGGAGATGTGTGGGGAGCGTGACTCCCAATCTCCTCCCTTCCCCTGGTCCCTCAGATGCACATCACAAACATCACTGGGCTAGTTTCTTCTTCTGGGGAATCCAGAAGCTGTCTTTAAGCCTCTGGATTTTCTCCAGGAACAGAAAAAACTCTGGAAGACTTTGGAAGGGATTGCTATTACCACTGGGGACTGGGGAGAAGGAAAGTTAGAGCTTCAGGACAAATACCTTGGTTAGATGGCATTTGTGGGACTCACCTGAGTGAGAACAAGACCCATCTTCATATTTCTGGGAAGCCTGTTGTGGTGGCAACAATGGGGTTTCAGGATCGACTGTCATTATGGATGGGTCTACAGAAGCCAACAAGGAATAGGACCACGGCCTGAATTTGACCACATCCCAATCATCAAATTACTCTGAATTATATACTTGTGTCTCCATTTCTTTGCTTTGTGAAAAGATGAGATTTTGGGTCTCTGAGCATCATTTCCCCCTTTATTTTCTAGGATCATGTGAATGAAGCCACATCTCAGAAGGGGGACAATCCACATGGTAAGATGATCCTTAAAAATGTTAAGCTCAGGGGTGCCTGGGTGGTTGATTGGGCATCCAGCTCTTTATTTCGACTCAGATCATGATCTCACAGCTTGTGAGTTTGAGCCCTGCATCTGGCTCTGTGGTGATAGTGTGGATCCTGCTTGGGATTCTTCCTCTCTCTGTGTCCCCCAACCCTGCTCGTGCTCTCTCAAAATGAATAAATAAATAAAAACTTAAAAATTAAAAAAAAGATAAGCTCATATCTATATTCTTTTGAATGCATTATGCATCAAAATGAAGTGGAAAAAATAGATAATTAGAAACAAAGATGCGCTCTGGGGACCTTGCTCAGGTTGGTGTCCACAACCTGTCCCCCAGGAAACTCCTAACACTTGGGAGTAGGTATGGTAGCAGCAAAGGTGGTGGACATGGAGTGGGTGTCCCTGGCTTTCTCTGAAATGTTGTGGAGGTGGGCTTGTCTTTTGTGACTTTTTTTGTGACTCAGCCTTGTCTTCCTGGCCCTGGATCCAAGACTATACAATGTTGACTCCTACTGGGAAAGCAGAAATTACCTTCTTGGGGAGCACTAAGTTATAGGATTCTGTAATGGAGTTCAGTATCCATGTAATGATTGCCGTTAATGATTCATCCTGCACACTGCACAAATCGATACATATGGATCTACCTCGCTCTGTTTAGTAGATACAGTTTTGTTCACGGTAAGGGCGTACACGCCTAATTCAACCATACCTTCCTTCCTCCCTTCCTTCTTTCCTTCCTTTTTTTTTTATTATTTTTTTTAAATCAGGCTTTACAAAATTTTTTTTAAGTTTACTAATTTATTTTGAGAGAGAGAGAGAGAGAGAAAGAGAGCACAGAAGGTGCAGAGAGAGGGAAAGAGAATCCCAAGCAGTCTCTGCACCATCAGCACAGAGCCCGATGTGGGGCTCGAACTCATGAACTGTGAGATCATGACCTGAGCTGAAGTTGTAAGCTTAACTGACTGAGCCACCCAGGCGCCTCCAACTATCCCTTTATTGATGGACTCTCACGTTATTTCTGGGCCAGCTCTGTGCAAGCACAGAATATTCAGCAATGAATAAAGTAGGTGAGATCTCTGTCCCCATAGAACTCCCCCAAATAATAACAATAAAATAATAATAATAATAATAATAATAATAATAATAATTTTAATTAACTAGAATGTTTATAGCATTTTTATTTATTAAATAAAATAATTATTCTTTTATTATTATTTCAATTTTAATAATAATAATAATTGCAGTTGACATTATGTGCTGGAAAAATATATAGAAATAATTCAATCCTCCTAGCGTATAAATATAATTCTCAGAACAACCATATATTCTTAACAACCCTAAAGTATATTCCTCATGACAGCCCTAGGAAGAGGGTGGTATTATCATTAGTCTCATTGACAGATGAGTAAACTTAGCCAGAAAGATGCGAGCTTAGGCAGAAGTAGGGATTTAAAATTCTCCGGATGCCCTTCTGTCAAGACCTGAAGGAACTTACCTGTTATGGCCCCAAATTTTGCCTCGTGGTGGTGAGGAAATAGCACACCATGGGTAGCCACGGGGTGGCTCAAAAAGTTGGAAGTGACCTTTTATATGATGTAGCCTTGTATGAGGTGATTTGGAAGAAAGTAGGAGCTTTCCCAAGGCGACATAACAAGGACGTGGTGTCACTAGCATTTCAGTGGCTTTCTTTAAATGCCGCGTTCATTCCACCTCCCAGACTTGGCGGCTCTGACACCAAGTGACAATCCATACCCTTAGCGCCCAGGATGCCTCAAACTCTGAATATTCTCTGTATTGCTGACTCTGCCCTTTGCTCAGCATGGAGGTCTGGTGTTGACCTTGGATCAAGGAGAAGTGATGGGGACAGGGCGCGTGTGCAGAGACGGTTTTGTGGTACAAGTTTCTACAGTCATGTATTGAGGCATAATGAACGTAGAGTGAAATGCACAGATCTTAAGTGTAGAGCTCAGTGACTTTACGTATCTACCCATAGTGACCATCCTCTAGATAAAGATCTTGAGCATTTCCATCACCTTACCTAAGTTCCTGCTGCCTCTCCCCAAAGGGAACTGCAACCCAGATTTCTATCCACATAGATTAATTTTGTCTGTTCTTGAACTTCATATAGTGGAATCAGATAGCATGTGGTTTCGTGTCCGGCTTCTTTCATTTAGCATGTTTAGAAGATCCATGCGTGTTGCATATCAATAGTTAATTTATTCATTCTTTTTTGTTTTGTTTTTTGTTTTTGGTTGCTGAGTAGTCTAACATTTTATGAATATACCACCAAGGGGCATTTTAAACTCAGATTCTCCCTTGTCCTGCCTCAGCCCATGGACTTCATGGACTTCGGTAGCAAATGAAAGGAAATCTAAGGATGAAGACCTGTAAAGGCCAAGTTTAACTGATTTTCATGTTTCTGGGAGGTCTTGAGCTTTCTACACATCTCCTAATTTATTCGTGGCTGCCTTTGTGGTTTTTACTTGAATGGGTGAGTGACTTCTGACCCGGGACTATAGTCCTGCTGTTCAGAGCATTACTTCCATTCTCTGTAAAAACTGGCAAGGAGGAGAAATCATAAAACCTGTCCACATCTCCATATTTGGCCTCAAGAAGAGACTCTGAATCTGCCCTTTTGTCCCACAGGGCCAGGGGAGAAGCAGCTGCAGGCCACAGGATGTGAACCGAGCCCTGAGTTGTTGGAACTGAGGATCCTGCTTGTGGGGAAGCGTGGAGCTGGAAAAAGTGCCGCTGGGAACAGCCTTCTGGGGAAGGGAGTCTTTGAGACCAAATTCAGTGAAAAGTCGGTAACCCAGATGTTTGCGTCTGTGAGCAGAATCTGGAGAGGGAGGAAAATTTGGGTCATTGATACTCCGGACATTGCATCTTCAAAGGACATTAAAGCTGAGCTTCAGAGACATGCCCCTCAAGGCCTCCATGCCTTCCTGCTGGTGACCCCTCTGGGCTCTTTCACCAAGACGGATGAGGCTGTGCTGGACACCATCCGAAGCATTTTTGGAGAGAAATTCATTGAGTACATGATCGTCCTCCTCACCAGGAAGGAAGATCTAGGGGACCAGGATCTAGAGATGTTCTTGAAAAGCAATAATGAAGCTCTCTACCAGCTCATTAAGAAATGCAAAGACCGGTACAGCGCCTTCAACTACAGACTGACGGGGGCAGAGGAGCAGTGCCAGGTGGACGAGCTCCTACAAAAGATCATGGACCTGGTGCTGCAGAACCGGGCCAAGCCATGCATCATCAGCCAGGAAGGTACATATTGTGTAAAACACATTTTATATATGCTTTTGACAGCCAGATGTGACATGTGCAAGAGCTTTCTATTTTCTGAAGGGCAGAGAGAAGCTAAAAAGGACAGGTCCAGGCTCTTGACGAGCTTTTCTCTTTCTCCTTCCTTTCTCAAATGTTCCTAAGGTAATGAGCCTTCCCCCCGCACACTGTCCACACCTCGAACTCTTTAATTTTTCCTTCCTGATCCTTATCCCATCTCTCCAAGGGGATGGTGAAGGACTTAAGGGAAGGAGTTGAGCTTTTTCTAATCTCCCGTTTTCCCCACAGTGTATCTGTGGTTTGGGGCTCAGGACTCAGCGCTGGTGATGAGATAGTTCTGAACCATTGGTTTGCTCTTCTCTTTCTCTTAAGCCCACTCCATCTCTCTCTCTTTCCCTCTCTTAACTTCTTGGTTCTTTTTTTTTTTAAAGTTTATTTATTTATTTTGAGAGAGAGAGAGAGAGAGAGAGAGAGAGAGAGAAAGCAGGGGAGGGGCAGAGAGAGAGAGAGATAGAGAGAGAAAGCAGGGGAGGGGCAGAGAGAGAGAGAGATGGAGGGAGTTGAGAATCCCGAGCAGGCTCCACACTGTCAGTGCAGAGTCTGATGCAGGACTTGAACCCACAAATCCTGAGATCATGACTTAAGCTGAAATCAAGAGTTGGATGCTTAACCAAGTGAGCCACCTAGGCACCCCTCTTTTTTTTAAGCTTAATAATTTATTTTTGAGGGAGGGAGAGAGAAGGAGAGAGAAGATCTAAAGTGGGCTCCATGCTGACAGCAGAGTCTGATGTGGGGCTTGAACCCATGAACCACAAGAGCATTACCTGAGCTGAAGTCAGATGCTCAAAAGATTGAACCACCCACGTGCCCCAGCTAGATGGGTTTCTCAGTCCAGCCACACTACCTGCTTCTTTAGCAGAAGTCCCCATGCACTCTGTGCTACATGCTCTATTGCCCTGAACTGAGATTCTTCCAGGCCAGTATGAGTCATCCCATTCTGTCCCATGGCAAATGTCCTCACCTGGGAAGAACACAGACTCAAAAGAGCCCTTTCATATTTGCCATGGAGCCCCAGGTGCTGGGGAGCCTCCTGAAGAAGCATAGATATGTGGGAATGTCAGGAGAGGCTGTGTGGAGAAAGCCCAGTTTGAAATGGGCTTTAGAAAATGGGCAGAGTTTGGATGGCTGGCAGAAAGCTGGAAGACATCACAGAGGGCACACTAGCAATCTGGAACAATGATGGAAATGGAGGGTTCGTGCCTCTATATGAAGTGGGAGATCATGGAGGTTCTTGGGAGCCACCTTCCGAGGGTATGGGAGCAGGGACTGAAGCCTGTGACAAATGTGGGAATGTGGGAGGATTAATCTCTTTTTCATCCTTTATGCATAACTATGAGATTGTAGGTTCAGGACGAGCAGTTCAATAATTTCCCCTGGGGGAACAGCACAGGGTAGGCTTCCCTCACTCTTTGTTTCTGGGTGGATATTGGTAACTTGGCCAACGATGCATAATTGAGGAGAACTGTGGAAAAAGGCAGCGTGGAAGAGAAAGACCACAGGACAAGTTCAGAGTCACAAGGAGTCCCCACTAGCACACTCTGCAAGGGCTCTGTACATCTGTCATTCCATCTAGAGGGACATCTGTTCTCCATCATCGCCCCACAGAACAGGGGAGGGTGTGTTCACTGTTATAACCTCTAGGTACTTTTTGACTCCTTGATGAAAGAAAGACACAGTTCAGTTTAATGTGGTTTTAATGAGACGTGAATTGTAGCATGATCCGAATGAAGGAACTAGTAATCTGTTGATAATATATGTAGTTGCTTTTTCATGAAAAGTCAGTTCTATGGCATAAATTTTCAAATACATCGAGGAGATTTTGCTGCAGTTACAGCACTAGGTTGGCAACAGGAAGCCATAGTTGCAGCAGGAACAGAAGCCCAAGAGATGAGATGTATAGCCCGGATGTATCTGAATAGGTGATGGGTCATACAGCCAGTAGCACCCACAGGAGTCAGAGAAGGTACCAGAAAGAGGGAGCAAGTTCAGAGATAAGGACAGTGGCCATGTCATGGGTGAGCACCGGGCAGAGACGGTGGTCCAAGTTGTGCTTGTGGGTTCACAGGGTGCTTGGCTGGAAGAAGCCGCCCCCCCACCCCCATACTTGGGGATGGAGCTGCCGGGTGAGGGGGTGGCCACAGTGCTCTCTGAGCATCCTCTGCTGTGATGTCTGGTATCACTTTGAAAGTCGCACACAGATCTGCCCATGGTCATGAATCTTTCCTGCTTTCCTTTTGACAGACACGCTGAGCATTGTCATCGTGGGGGGCAGCGGCACCGGGAAGAGCGCCACGGGGAACACCATCCTTGGGAGGCGTGACTTCCTCGACCAGCTCCGAGCACAGCTGATCACCAGGAAGAGCCAGAGCAGCAGGAGGATGTGGAAAGGGTGGAGGGTTGTGGTTGTGGACAGTCCCTTGCTCTGCCTGACGACCAGCACTGAGAGGTGTCCATCTGGGCTGGAGGAGGAGGTCAAACACTGTTTGTCCTGCTGTGAGGGAGGGAACATAGTTCTGGTCCTGGTGTTCCAGCTGGGACGCTTCACTGAGGAGGACAAAAAGGCAGTGAAGAATCTAGAGACCATCTTTGGGGAGGACGTTTTGAAGTACACGATTGTGCTGTTCACTCGGAAGGAAGACCTAGAAGGGGGGGACCTCAAAGTTTACCTCCAGGATACAGATAACAAAGCTCTTAAGAACATAACTAAGAGGTGTGAGGAGCGAGTGTGTGCTTTTAATAACAAAGAAACTGGCCAAGCCAGGGAAAACCAGGCAAGTCTTCTTTTGACAATGGCCGTCGATCTGATAAAGAGCCACAGAGGGCATGGTTACCCCCATGAATGGGAGAATGTCAACAAAATCATTAGAAATAACCAGGAAAAGGACAAGCCCAAAAGCTTCCTGAAAATTTTAAAAAGATATAGTATCATCAGTAACTGATGCACGTGGGGTGTCTTTAAGTTAGAGACACCCTCAGTTGGGGATGGGTGTGAGGTAGGGCTTGTGGGAGGGGAGGAGGGTCCATGTCTTAGAGGGCTTGAAAGGCACATGCTGGCCACCTTGCAATGCTTCAGCTCTTATTAGGTGAATAAATTGTCAGGCTGGGGCAGGGGATTAGAAAGGAGAAAGGAGAAATTAGGTGGGGAAATCTTGAAAGAGGCTCCTGAGATTCAGTGGCCATTGAGGGTCAGAATTAAATCACAAGAATCACCTCACCTGTGGACATAGAGTGGAGTCAGGACAGACATGGTGACCAAGGCCAGCCCGGGGTCAGAATACAGATAAATACCCATGAACCAGGGGATCCAGACACACGAGGGTAGAGTAATGAGCAGTGTCCAGCCAACTCCTGGTGTGGCAGAGTGGACAAGCTGGATCCTGTGGGCCTCTGGGTGCCCAGGGCTGCTTGTCAGGCATGCTGGTCTCCTGAGCTGCCTTGTCGCCATTGGGCAGAACTCGGGGCCAGCACATTCTTTTCTTCCTGGGGCGGATATTCTTTAGTGCTGTCTTCATTCCAAGCCTGAATGGAAAGTGGGCCCCAGTCTACTCTTCTTTATTGTTCCTTAGGAAATGATCACGAGTCTGTGAGGTTTCCAAAGATTTTATTGCTAACCATCACAGTGAAAGAGAGTAGAACAAAAATCCAAAATGTGGTAAAACTGCCAACATGAGACAACATTGCAAAGTTCCAAAATTCTATGTAGAATTCTAGATTGCCTCCAGACAAGTTGAAAATTCCTTTGCACTTTTCTCTCTCTCTCTTTTTTGGATCCCCATGGGTTAGGAATTAGGGTAAAGCTCAGAGGATTCAAATAATAGTCTCGAACACACTAGGGGCTTGTTGTGTCTCACGTCAGGAAGTCTGAGGGTAGGCAGTCTGAGGCTGGTGTGGAATGTGGCCTCCACACTTAAAGTTGCTTCTCCATTCCAGGATGGTGGTGTTCCCTGACATTTGAGCAGGTTATGTTGAGGGGTGCCTGTGCGGGCAATATTTGAGATGAGAATCATGGGGTTTTCTTCCAGGTAGGTGTAGTCAGATGCTGTCAGTATTAACTGTTTTATATATGCTTTGAGGACAGGATCTACATCATCCATATGCTTTTTTGGAAAGTTATCAGTTGCCTTCAAGATTAACCCACTTATCAGAGCATGGACCATCACCATCAATACTGTTGTACTCTGCATAACCCTGAAAATGACACATTCTGGAAAATGTATGTATAAGTATATTCAATTGAGTGAAATAATAAAGATGAATTATATTATAAATTCACGTCCTCCTGATTTCTATTTTTCTGACCCCGGGGCAGACCATGCCTCCATGAAGAGGCTATGCAGATGTTTAGACACCTTGACTCTGGTGAGGTTTCTGCATCTTGCGTGCATGAGGACCTTAGAGTGGGTGACAGCCATTTCATGAGGCCTCTGCCAGCTCAGGAATCTTCCACTCTGGGCATTTCACTAGAGCAAGGACAAATAAATTAGAACCAAGAGCATGGAAGGAATAAAGCCTAGAAGGCATTATGTGCCTCTTCCCAGAACGTCTCTTCTGTTTGAAGGCAGGCACAAACCCCAGTGTGCCACCCTAGGTTGAGCAGGTGACATTGGAGCTGCATGAGGTGGGGGATGGGTGGGCTAAGCAATGTGGCATCTTCTCCCAGGCAAGACCTAACATCCGTCTCCACTTTCCTTTAGGACCACGCTTGAGACATGCGACAGTACTGCCATGTGGGTTCCTCCGAGAGGCACGTGCTGAGAATTAGGAGTGCCAGAGGCTTACAGGGCACAGGGGTGATGCCAAGGCTGTTAAAGACTAAAGAGGCAGCAGAGGGCTGCCTCGGTGATTCAGACGGTTAAGCGTTTGACTCTTGTTTTTTGGCTCAGGTCATGACCTCGTGGTTTCCTGAGTTCAAGCCCTGCTTCTGGCATTCTCTCTCTCTCTCTCCCTCTCTCTGCCCCTTCCCTGCTCACTCTGTCTCTGTCTCTCTCAAAATAAAGAAATAAATGTAAAACCCTTTCAAAAAAATAAAGAGGAAGCAGAATTGGTCTGAGAGAGCTTCCACACTGTGATGCAGGTCTGATACATGCAGGAGGAAATGGGGGAGGCGCTGCTTGGGTAGGGAGAGCTGCACATCTGAATAGTGGGTTCTAGGGCAAAGACTGACCCATAGTGATGATATCCTGCATTGGGCACTGGCAGCCTTTGGCTAGGGACTGGCTGGGAAGGGCATGGCTTTGGCTCAAAGCTGAAGTGGGTCCTGAAAGTGTCATAGTTGGAGGCTGCCAGCTAACTGCTGTCTTTGGAGCAGAATGGAAGTTTCCTCCCCTCTCCTCCCCTTCCTTCCTCTCCTCTTCTGTTCTTTTTTTTTTCTTTTAATTTTTTTTAATGTTTATTATTTTTGTGTGTGAGAGAGAGACAGAGACAGAGAAATACAGAGAGCAAGCACGGGAGGGGCAGAGAGAGAGAGAGAGAGAGAGAGAGAGAGAGAGAATCTGAAGCAGGCTCCAGGCTCTGAGCTGTCAGCACAGAGCCTGATGAGGGGCTCGAACTCATGAACCACGAGATCATGACCTGACCTGAAGTCAGATGCTTAACCGACTGAGTCACCCAGGTGCCCCTATCCATTCATCTATTGATGGACACTTAGACTGTGTCCATATCTTGGCTATTATGAATAATGCTGAAATGAACATGGGGGTGCAGGTATCCATCAAGATCCTGATTTCATTTTCTTTGGATATACACCCAGATGTGGGATTGATGAATCATATGGTGATTCTATTTTTTTAATTTCTTCTTCTTCTTCTTCTTCTTCTTCTTCTTCTTCTTCTTCTTCTTCTTCTTCTTCTTTTCTAAGATTTTATTCTTAAGTAATCTCTACACCCAGCATGGGGCTTGAGCTCACAACACCGAGATTAAGGGTCACACACCCCACCAACTGAGCCAGCCAGGCACCCCTATTTTTAATTCCTTGAGGAACTTCTACACTGTTTTCCAGAGTGGCTTCACCAATTTACATTCCAACCAACAGTGTACAGGGTTCCTTTTCTTCACATTCTCACCAACATTTGTTCTTTCTTTTTTTTTTTAAAGTTTATTTCTTTATTTATTTTGAGAGAGAGAGAGAGAGAGAGTGAGCGAGAAAGAGCAAGGGAGCATGAGTGGGGTAGGGGCAGAGAGAGAGGGAGAGAGAATCCCAACCAGGCTTCTTGCTGTCAGCACCGAGCCCAACGTGGGGCTCAAATTCACGAATCTGAGATCATGACCTGAGCTGAAGTCTGATGCTTAACCTACTGGACCACCTAGGCATACCTCTCTCCTGTTGTGGTTTCGATTTGCATTTCCTTGATGCTGAATGCTGCTGAGCACCTTTTCATGGTTTTTGCTGCCCATTTGTATGTCTTCTTTGGAAAAGTATCTGTTTAGGTGGTTTGCCCATGTTTTAATAATCAGTTCTTCTTCTTCTTCTTCTTCTTCTTCTTCTTCTTCTTCTTCTTCTTCTTCTTGCTATTGCATTGCATGAGTTCCTTATATATTTTGGATATTAACTCCTTATCAGATATATCATTTGCAAATATCATCTCCCATTCTGTACATTGCTTTTTCAATTTGTTAATTGTTTCTCTTGCTGTGCAGAAGCTTTTTACTTTAAGGTTATTCCTCTTGCCAATATTTGCTTTTGTTGTCTGTGCAAAAAAATTATTGCCAAGACCAATCTCAAGAAGTATTTTCCCTGAATTTTCTTCTGGTAGTTTTACCATTTCAGGTCTTAAACTTACATCTTTAATTCACTTTGAGCTAATTTTCTAATAATAGACTCTAATAATGGACTCTTAAGTCCAGTTTCATTCTTTTGCATGTGGATATACAATGTCCCAATATCGTTTATTGAAGAGACTATCCTTTTCCCATTGAGTACTTTTGGATTCCTTGTCAAAGATTAGTTGATTAAATTTTATTTTATTTATTTTATTTTATTTATTTATTTTTTTAATATATGAAATTTA